CATCAAAAACTAAAAAAATTTACACAAAATAAAAATTAAGCACCGATTGGCGAAAAAAGTGGTGGTGATGTTGGTGAAAGTGATTTTGATGGTGGCGAAATAGGTGGTGGAAGAGAGTAGTTTTTTCTCTGTCGCCGTTCACATTAACCTATATATATTATCTCTTTTAGTTCTCTCTATTCATAAAATGAATTTCATTTCCACCGAGTCAGTCCTGAGTTGACTCAGTTCTTTGAATCAACGAAGAAAAAGATGTACATCAGATAAAACAATATGTGTTTATGTAGTATCTTTTGATTCGAAATTAGTCGTCCAAATTTATTGTTATTCTGCTAGCATATGTAATAGCGGATAACACTTTATTTGTTTGTAATATGTATTGTTAGATGTTTAGTGATTGTTATTGAGCTAATTCTTCACTTGACATGAAATAAATTATGTAGACCGAGAATTAAGTATATTTTAGAATAAGAACAACATTTTAACTTACTAGTTGATCAGTTAAATAAATGACATCTCATTTAGTCTTTAATCTTATGATATAAATGGCTAATTTGTTATTCATTGGTAAAAATATTGGTAAAGATAATAAATCACTTATACGACTAAGATATTATAGGGCAATTATCACAAATACCAATAAATGAAGTTTTGTTTCAAAAATACCATAATTTTCAAATATTCAACAAATACCACAAATTTTCAAATGTTCCACAAATACCACAAAACCTATTACTTTTGACATTCAAAACTAAACCCTAAACCCTATCCAAAAAAAAAAAACTATACCCTAGTTCTACAATAGTCAATCCAAACCCAAACATTTAAATTATAAAGCCTTGTAAATCAATTTGTGTTTGTGGTATATGGAACATTTTAAAAAATGTGGTATTTGTGGAACATTTAAAAAATGGTTGTACTATTAAAAACAAAATTTCAAAGTGTGGTATCCTATAGAATTTCTCTATATTATATAGCTAAAAGTTAGGCTTCAACGTAAATGTTAGACGGCTAATATATTGGACAACTAAAAGTTAGACTTCAACGTGAATGTTAGACGACTATTTCTTAACTTGGCATAAAATATATTAGTTAGATTAATAATAGACTTGTTTTTTATACCTTGTACAACATTTTTCACTACATGTTAGTCGGCTAAAAGTATATTTGGTGGTTAACATATTACTTATTTGTGTACATTGCTGATTACTTATATTTTTTAACATCACATAGACACAATTAAGATACTAAAGTTAGATGGATAACAAAATACATTGACAACTAAATTAAGACATTGTCATTGGGTTGCAATGTTAGATACGCATACTTGATTATGTAATACGCATAGCGGATAATATTTATGTTATCGTTTAGTATAGTTTTTATATGTCTAATTTGTGATATTCTCGTCTAACTGAAGAACATTTATTCAGAGTGCTTGGTTCCTCGACGATATTCGTCGACGGTAGGTCATCATCTTTCTCCGGTCAATTCTATTATCCTTCATCTCCAAATTGTCTTCGTCCGAAACGACTTACTTGAGTTGCGGTTGACTCGAAACTTCCAATTTTTGGTAACTCCAATTCGTCTCCCATCTCCGGTAACTATACCGTAACAAAAAAGTGAGATATATGACATGGATTGCCTTAAAAAAGAATTCGAGGGAAATCTCTACTAATACTCGAGCGGACTTACTGTTATAACGGTGGACTCAAAATTTCAAATTGTCGAAAAAATTGTTGGACTATCACCAACTTTTCATTTGCTTCTAAATTCTAACTATTATTGTAAACCAAACAAAACTCACGAAAAAAATACAGCGGAACCCCTTACCATCAAATCAGCTGTTTCGCAAATTTATACATCCGAATTTGTCCGAAGTATGTAAAATTTGAGTCTTTGGAATCGTCTAGGAACTGTATTCTCAGTAATATTACCAAATTGACGACAACACTGTTTCTCTCTCCTAACTTCTTATTTTTATTTTTTTTTCTTATAATTTAATCATCACTTATTCGTTCTGATAATATATATACATGCTAAGATTAAGTATACGAGACAACACAAAAATAAGGGTAAAATGGAGTTAAATAATAATGCACAGTAGAATGGTTATTTTGCCAAATATCCTATAATTCATTGCTATTAAGCGTAAATACTTTTTTTTTCTTAATTGTTTATTAACTTGGAAAGCTTGGAACTGTAATTATGTGTTCGTATATGTAATGTATGCATCAAATGTTACTTTTTTTATAAGTTTTTTTTTTTTTGTCATCACTTTTTAGAGGCTAATCTTTTTGTAAAGCCGCCGTAAAAATTGATTTTGTTAGATTTATGGCATTCGGATTTACTTTTTTTTTTTTTTACTATAGCATTCGAATTCACGTTTTGGTTTTTTAATTGTAATATATTTGATATAGAAGTACTTTCGAAAGAGTCCAAATCTCGGTGCAACCGTTCACGTGATGGATCTGATGGTGTTAAATGAATAAACATATCAAGAGGTGTAAGTGTAACACTAATAAATATTTTAATTCTCTATGATTGACTTATTTGATGCAATATTGCGATGACTAAAGAATTTGTGGCCACAGGTGAGAATTGCTTTCGTGCCAATGAAACCAACAGAAAATAGCGATGTAATAAGCTCTTGTTCCATTTTGGTAATATAAATTCATATTTTTATATAAAAAATTAAACTTTTATAAAGATATTGCATGCAAAAATTAGTACAGTATATATTAATATTTGTTTGCATGGCGTGAGTAAAATTTGCATGTTTAAAGTTAGCATAATAATAGAGGCTGTACTTTAAATACGGTTATATTGCCAGTGGTTATGTATAGGAATTTAAGCAATTTTCAGTCGACTAAGCTTATACATATATCCAAATTATTTATCAACTGTATAAACAATGAAGCAATTAACGATACATATTAATCGAAGGTACAGTAAATGAATTAGGCACAAGTACAACAGCTTTTTCTGTCCACATTTCCATCAAAATTTTGTGGAAATAATAATAATATTATGTTTAGTAAGCTTCCAAAAATAATTAATAATCACAGATTAGACTCTCTTATTTAAACACACTCGCCGAGATACCACCGCACCGACACTGAATCACCGACACACTAATAAGAGTCTACTGAGTGGACGTCACCTTATCTTTCCTAATTGGGCCAAAATTCAAAGCCCATTGGGCTTAACTATCACGTAGATACTTGATTTCTTTGCCTGACTGATTCATCTGTCAGTTCAGACGGCCGATTATTAACAACTCCGACCAAATGATTCGCCGGACGATCTACGACTCCTCCGCCGTTGCTCGCCGCCTAACTTCTCCGATATCGAAATCCTCGTGTTTTCTACTCTCTTCTTCTTCACGTTCATCTGAACACGAAACCCGAGAACCATTGGTTTCGAATCCGAACCTTAAATCTCCAATCGGATCTCCGACTCGGGTTCAGAAGCTTATAGCTTCGCAATCGGATCCTCTACTCGCTAAAGAGATCTTCGATTACGCTTCTAAGCAACCCAATTTCCGCCATTCTCAATCTTCTCATCTTATCGTCATCCTCAAACTCGGCCGTTCTAAATATTTCAATCTCATCGACGACGTTCTCGCCGAGCATAGATCTAGTGGGTTTCCGGTGACTGGAGAATTGTTCACTTATCTGATCAAAATCTACGCAGAAGCAAAGTTACCGGAGAAAGCTTTAAGTACGTTTCACAAAATGCTGGAGTTTAACTTCACGCCACAGACAAAACATCTGAATCGGATTCTCGAGGTTCTTGTTAGCCACAGGGGTTATCTCCAGAAAGCTTTCGAGCTTTTCAAGAGTTCACGGTTTCATGGAGTGATGGCTAACACGAGAACTTACAACATTTTGATGCAAGCTTTTTGTTTGAATGATGATTTAAGTATTGCATACCAACTGTTCGGTAAAATGCTTGAGAGAGATGTTGTTCCAGATGTAGAGTCTTATAGGATTTTGATACAAGGGTTTTGCAGGAAAGGACAAGTGAATGGTGCTATGGAGTTACTTGAAGATATGTTGAATAAAGGATTTGTGCCTGATAGGTTGAGTTACACTACATTGTTGAATAGTTTGTGTAGGAAGACACAACTTAGAGAGGCTTATAAGCTTCTATGTAGGATGAAGTTAAAAGGTTGTAATCCTGATATTATTCATTACAACACGATAATACTCGGTTTTGTTAGAGAAGGTCGTGCTATGGATGCTAGGAAGGTTCTTGATGATATGGTAGCTAACGGTTGCTCACCCGATTTGGTATCGTATAGGACATTGATCGGAGGATTATGTGATCAAGGGATGTTTGATGAAGGGAAAAAGTACCTACAAGAGATGATATCGAAAGGGTTTTCACCTCATTTCTCGGTATCTAATTGTTTGGTAAAAGGGTTTTGCAGCTTTGGCAAAGTCGAAGAAGCATGTGATGTGGTGGAGATTGTGCTGAAGAATGGTGAAACATTGCATTTAGACACTTGGGAGATGATCATTCCTATAATCTGTAAAGAAGATGAGTCGGAAACGATCAAACGGTTTCTTGAAGATGCGATAAAAGTAGAGATAAGCGGTGATACGAAAATCGTAGATGCGGGTATCGGTTTAGGATCTTACCTTTCTAGTAAGCTACAAATGAAACGTAAAAATGTTAGAGAGAGGAAGAGACATTTATAGATTCCTAATCTTGAGGAACAATGTAGATACAGTTCGATTTATCTGTTATATATTCTTGTTCCTCAGGTACTTTAGAGACTTGAAACTTAATTCAGAACATTTTGTTGATCGAGTAAGGTGGGAATATTCTTATTGGGCCTGATTTGGGCTTTTAGTATTACGTGAAGCCCATTTGGCTTCATCTTCTCCCTCTGTTGTTAATCAGAAGCATTTGTGACAAATCTTTGATCAGATCTGAGTTTCGACGATTACTCAGAAATTATATTACGGAAATGTCATCGACTCCGATTAGATCGATGGCGGTTACAAGGCAGCCGGAGGTCGATCAAAACGATGCGGCGGTGGAATCGGAAGACTCATCCGCCGTGAAATTCGGTACACCGGAAGCTTTGGAGTATGTACGGTCGCTCACTGACGTTGGCGCAATGACGCGTCTTCTTCACGAATGTATCGCTTATCAACGCTA